TTTTCTCCTTCTAGGCTGCTGATCAACAAGGCAAGCTATTCACCCCTGCTCTAAGTCTATGAATATATACACATACATCATACACACACATACATATACATACATATATATAGATATATACACATATATATGTTGTTGTCATCTGGTGACACTGAGTCAGTTCCAACTCATAGTTACCCTATGTACAACAGAATGAAACACTGTCCAGTCCTGGGCTGTCCTCACAATCATTGCTATATTTGAGCCCACTGTTCCAGCCACTGTGTCAATCCATCTCCTTGATGGTCTTCCTCTTTTTCGCCGACCCTCTATTTTACCAAGCATGATGTCCTCCTTCAGGGAGAAGTACGACCATGAGTATATCCCGCCTGAATTTAGAGACCATCTCAAGAATAGATTTGATTCATCTAACACTAATGACCGAAGACCAGATGAGATCTGGGATGACATCAAGGACATCATGCATAAAGAAATCAAAAGGTCACTAAAACCAAAAGGGAAGAACATGCTCAGCATCTCTCAAGCTGGAAGAACTGAAAAAAAATTTAAACCTCGAGTTGCATTATTGAAGGATTCTACAGGAAAAACATTGAATGACACAGGAAGCATCAAAAGAAGATGGAGGGAATACACAAAGTCACTGTAACAAAAGGAATTGGTTGACATTCAGCCATTTCACTAGGTAGCATCAAGAACCGATGATAGTGAAGGAAGAAGTCCAAGCTGCGCTGAAGACATTGGTGAGAAACAAGGCTCCAGGAATTGACAGAATACCAATTGAGATGTTTCAACAAATGGATGTAGCACTGGAGGCACTCACTTTGTCTATGCCAAGAAATCTGGAAGACAGCTACCTGGCCAACTGACTGGAAGAGATCCATATCTGTGCCCATTCCAAAGAAAGGTGATCCAACAGAATATGGAAATTACCAAACAATATCATTAATATCACATGAAAGTAAAATTTTGCTGAAGATAATTCAAAAGTGGTTATAGCAGTATTTTGACAGGGAACTGCCAGAAATTCAAGCTGGATTCAGAAGAGGATGTGGAACGAGGGATATCATTGCTGATGTCAGATGGATCTTGGCTGAAAGCAGAGAATACCAGAAAGATGTTTACCTGTGTTTCATTGACTCTGTGGATACAAAAGCATTCGACTATGTGGATCATAAAAAATTATGGATAACCTTGCAAAGAATGGGAATTCCAGAACACTTAATTGTGCTAATGAGGAACCTGTACTTAGACCAAGAAGCAGTCGTTCGGATAGAACAAGGGGATACTGCAAAGACTTAAAATCAGAAAAGGTGTGTGTCAGGGTTGTATCCTTTCACCATACTTATTCAATCTTATGCTGAGCAAATAATCCGAGAAACTGGACTATATGAAGAAGAACAAGGCATCAGGATTGGAGGAAGACTCATTAACAACCTGCGTTATGCAGATGACACAACTTTGCTTGCTGAAAGTCAGGAAGACTTGAAGCACTTACTAAAGAAGATCAAAGATCACAGCCTTCAGTCTGGATTACACCTCAACATAAAAAAAACAAAAATCCTCACAAGTGGACCAATAAGCAACATCACGATCAATGGAGAAAAGATTGAAGTTGTCAAGGATTTCATTTTACTTGGATCCACAATCAACACCCATAGAAGCTGCAGTCAAGAAATCAAGTGACGTATTGCATTGGGCAAATCTGCTGCAAAAGACATCTTTAATGTGTGAAAAAGCAAAGATGTCACTTTAAGGACTCATATACATGTGAAACCTGGACAATGAATAAGGAAGACTGAAGAATTGATGCCTTGAATTGTGGTGTTGGCAAAGAATACTGAATATACCATGGACTTCCAGAAGAACGAACAAATCTGTCTTCGAGAAGTACAGCCAGAATGCTCATTAGAAGCAAAGATAGCGAGACTTAGTCTCATGTACTCTGGACATGTTATCAGGAAGGACTGTGCCCTGGAGAAGGACATCATACTTCGTAAATTAGAGGGTCAGTGAAAGACAGGAAGACCCTCAACGAGATAGACTGACACAGTGGTGCAACAATGGGCTCAAGCACAGCAACAATTGCCAGGATGGCGCAGGACTCGCAGTGTTTCTGTTGTACATAGGGTCACTATGAGTTGGAACAGACTGGACGGCACCTAATAACAACAATATCCAAAAACCAAACCCATTGCCATGGAGTCGATTCACGGCAACCCTATGGAACAGAGCAGAACTGTCCCATAGGGTTTCCAAAGAGCGGCTCGTGGCTTCAAACTGCTGACCTTTTGGTTAGCAGCCAAGCTCTTAACCACTGAACCATCAGGGCTCTCAACAGCAACATACCTGTATATATAACCCCATTTGGGAATAGAGTTCTTCTTTGTTACGTTAATGAGGGCGTATCAATGTAAGCTGTGTCTTAAACCAATCACTTTTGAGATATAACAGCAGATTAGGCACAAAAGCAAGCAAGCACAGATGGGGGAAGACATTTGCCAGGACACATGAAGATCATCAATAACCAAGGGAGGAACAGAAGCTGAAAAGAGACAAGGACTTACCCCAGAGCTAAAAGAGAGAGACAGCCTGCCCCTAGAGCTGGTGCTCTGAATTCAAACTTCTACCCTATTAAACTGTGAGAAAATAAATCTCTGTTAAAGCCACCCACTTGTGGTATTTCTGTTATAGTAGCACTAAGAAACTAAACCAAAAAAACAAAACAAAACTCAATGCTGTTGAGTCGATGCTGACTCGTAGTGACCTTATATGACACAGTAGAACTGCTCCATATGGTTTCCAAGGCTGTACATCTTTATGGAAGGAGACTGTCACATCTTTCTCCCACAAAGCAGCTGGCAGGTTTGAACCACCAACCTTTCAGTTAGCAGTTGAGCACTTAACCACTGTACCACCAGGGCTCCTTAAGAAACTACGATAACATCTAAAAGATTTGTGTTTTGCTCTAGAAGTTAGTCATTCAGATTCTTTAAAAACTTCACCTTTTTCTGTCTTCTTCGTATGAATTACCCACCATCCATCAATTTGTCGTACCTTGGCATCTTGCATGTTGCTGCAATGTGGGAAGCCACGCCACCAGTATTTCAAACACCAGCAGGGTCACCCATAGTGGACAGGTTTCAGCAGAGTTTCCAGACTAAGACAGACTAGGAAGAAAGGCCTGGTGATCTACTTTTGAAAATCAGCCAATGAGAATCCTATGGATCCCAACAAAATATTGGCCACTATCATGGCAGTAGATGAGTCCATAGGTTGGAAGAGACTTCCTAGGTTGGAGACAGTCAAAGTACACAGTGGCCACAACAGTGGATTTGAGCCTATCAACGATCATGAAGATGGTGCAAAACCAGACAACATTTCATTCTGTTTTACACTGGATTCACCACGAGCCGGAGGTGACTCCAGTGGCAACTAACAACAATATAAATTACAGAAAGAAAAATTCCATTTAAATGGAGGTTTCCATACAGTTGAGTATAGATAATCAAAGATTTACTGCATTGAAGTAAAGAGAAGCCAGAGATTGGAATGTAGACAAGATAGAGGGTTGTTCTATTCGTTTTCTATTCTTTGGTTTTACAGCACTAACTATTCTGGCTGGAAAGACAGAGCAAATCACAGTCGACTGGAGCAGATCACAGTCTGCTGCCTGCCTCCAAAATCCAGTGCAAGTTTTTTGAGTGCTAGTTCTGTTAGGACTAAGCAACACGGGGGTGGGGGAGTGGGGGAGGTGGAGTGGAACTCGGTAAATAGTGAATTCCAAAGTTTACACCAAAACTTTTGAGACTAGACCCTGAGAGAAGCTAAACATTAGTGGTTGGGAATGACGTCAAGGCTGAAGTGGACCACAACCCCTGGTGACAACATGTAGCACTCACAGTAAGGAGCCCTGGTAGGACAGTGGTTAAAGACTGCTAACCCAAAGATCGAAGGTTGGAACTCACCAGCCCCTACCGGGGAAAAGATGTGACAATCTGCTATCAGAAAGACTGCAGCCTTGAAAACCCTATGGGGCAATTCTACCCTGCCCTATAGGGTCCTCGAATTGGAATCGTCTCAACAGCAAGGGTTTTACACCTATCCTAAGTAGTGTAACATGTAGCATTTAAACGTTTAAAATATAGTTCGTGAATTAAGATATAAACACAAACATTATCGTACAAGTTTGGGTGTTATCCTTATTACTGTTGTTTTAAAGAAGGTACGGTAGAGTATGCATCCTCATCGTGGATTGCAAGCTGTTTTATACTCCCCCTCCGTCTGGCGTAAAGAGGCTTTGTAGAGCCAATGTGGATAACTCCCCTAACGCTCTTAAATCGCTACTGGGCCCTCGAAGTGCTACCAGCGCAAGGCCGTCTCTCAACCATCAAAAGCCCAACTTTCTGGAAACGCGCGGGAAGAACACACAATATCCCCACCCTCCGTATTTCACCCTAAATCCCACCCTCGCTTCCAGCATGCGCAGACGCACTCCGGAGCCCAGCGGGCCTACGTAAATCCGAGTACGGAGCAGGCGCAATGGAGTTCTCGCTAACCACGCCTTCCCTTGGTTTGAGCAGGCGCAATTAGCAGAAGAAGGGCGCTTGGGTGATTACTGTCATCTTTACCTTTAACAGCCTTAATTGTCCCGAGCTTCTCCCGTGTTCATGTTCCCCCTCTCTTACTGGAAGTCGCTTGGTCTAAAGTAGGAGCTGCAGTTTGGAGTTGAAATGTGCTTCTCCCATTATAGGTACCACTCTGTTCTCAGAGGCAGGGCGTGTCGTTTAGGCAGCAGTCCTGACAGATAGGAAAAATAAAATCGCACATTGTAGAGAAATTTTACAGTCTGCCAACTCAGTCACATGACAAAATGACTCATAAATAAAACTTTCCTTTTTTCCATACTAGATCCTTTATAAGACACAGAAATAGTTTTACTTTCCCATGCAAGTGAGAAGAGAATTTCTTATTAACAAGGACCTGTAATAACACGCGACGCTGGCGAGCCATCCGTGGCTATACGGCACGTGAAAGGTCTCTGTACAGAACTATATTGCGCATTCGGGCTGTTGTGGAAGAATCTTCTGGGTTCGGCCGCCATGGGGAAGGTGAATGTGGCCAAGTTGCGTTACATGAGCCGGGATGATTTCAGGGTCTTGACCGCGGTAAGAAGTCATCCTTTCCCTTCTCTCTTGTCCTTCCCCAACCTGCGCCCTCTTCCTGTTCCTCGGAGTTTGCTGGGAGCTGAGCGGGCGCTCTTGGCCTTGGAATGCTGCGGAGGCTGGGAATGGGGGAAAGAGGACCGAGAGTCGGAGTTTTAAGAAGCCTGGAGAATCGCTCTTGCTTGGGACTATAACTTCCCCGCAAATAATGTAAAAATCTTCTAATTCTTTTCTTTCTACTCCCCTTCTCCTTGCTCTCAAAGCAGCCACACTCTCTCGTCTATTCCCTGGGAAGCTTCTCTGACTGTGGACTTCCCAGCAGTGGGGAGGGTTTAAGATGCCTCCTGGGGAGAATCGTTAGGAGTAGTATTGTGTTAATTTACTAAGGGTGAGTTCTGCACTCACAGACTCAGTCACTTTTCTTAATTCAGTCAACACGTATTTGTCAGGTTATATCGTAGCAGGTTTCAGCTGGCAACAAGACTTGAGGGAGACACAGATGGCAATTAAACGAATAAGGAAGATAATGTCGGATAATAAAGACAGTAAAGATGATAAACAGGATAACGGAATAGAAGGGGGGGTATGACCTTTAAATTGGGTAGGCAGAGAAGGCTACCTGGGTATAAGAATTTGTTTATGGTAGTAACCAAAGTCTGTAGTTAACCGAAGTCCACAAGGTCTTTAAAAAATAAGTAAATAAAGTGCCTGGCACTTGATAAGGAGTCCTGGTGGTGCAGTGGTTCACTGCTAGGCTGCTAACCTAAAGGTCGGTGGTCCAGCCACTAGTGGGAGAAAGATGTGGCAGTCTGCTTCAGTAAAGATGAGAGCCTTGGAAACCCTATGTGGCAGTTCTACTCTGTCCTGTAGGGTTGCTATGAGTATGAATCGACTCAAGGGACAGCAATGGGTTTTTAATGGGTTGCCACTTGATATTGTTAGGTGCCTTTGCGTCTGTTCCAACACATAGGTGCCCTGTATTCCCTAAGTACAACAGAATAAAACACTGCCCAGTCCTGCACCATCCTCACAATTGTTATCATGCTTGAGTCCATTGTTGCAGCTACTGTGTCAGCCCATCTCATTGAGGGTCTTCCTCTTTTTCACTGAACCTCTACTTTACCAAGCAGAATGTCCTTCTCCAGAAACTGGTCCTTCCTGAAAACACGTCCAAAGTATATAAGATGAAGGCTTGCCATCATTGCTTTTAAGGAGCATTCTGGCTGTACTTCTTCCAAGACATTTGTTTGTTCTGCTGGCAGTCCATGGTATATTCAGTATTCTTCTCCAGCACCATAATTCAGAGGCATCATTTCCTCTTTGGTCTTCCTTATTTATTCATTGTCCAGGTTTCACATGCCTGTGAGGTGACTGAAAACACTATGGCTTGAGTCAGGCACACCATAGTCCTTAAAGTGACATCTTTGCTTTTTAACACTTTAAAGAGGCCTTTTGCAGCAGATTTGCCCAATGCAATAGGTCGTTTGATTTCTTGACTGCTGCTTCCATGGGTGCTAATCGTGAATGCAAGTAAAATGAAATCCTTGACAACTTCAGTCCTTTCTCCGTTTATCATAATGTTGCTTATTGATCCAGTTGTGAGGATTTTTGTTTTCTTTATGTTGAGGGTAATCCATACTGAAGGCTGTAGTCTTTGATCTTCAGTAAGTACTTCAAGTCCTCTTCACTTTCAGCATGCAGGGTTTTGTCATTGGCATACTGCAGGTTGTTAATGAGTCTTCCTCCAATCTTAATGCCATGTTCTTCGTCATATAGTCCAGCTTCTCAGATTATTTGCTCAGCATACAGATTGAATAGGTATGGTGAAAGAATACAATGCTGAAGCACACCTTTCTTGACTTTAAACCACACAGTGTCCCCTAGTTCTGTTCTAACAACTGCCTCTTGATCTATGTACAGGTTCCTCAAGAACACAAATTAAGTGTTCTGGAATTCCTATTCTTTGAAATGTTACCTATAATTTGTTATGATCCACAGAGTCAAATGCCTTTGCATAGTCAATAAAACACAGGTAAACATCTTACTGGTATTCTCTGCTTTCAGCCAAGATTCATCTGACATCAGCAATGATATCCCTTGTTCCACGTCCTCTTCTTGAATTTCTGGCCGTTCCCTGTCGAAGTACTGCTGCAACCGCTTTTGAATGATCTTTAGCAAAATTTTTCCTGTGTGTGATATTAATGATATTGTTCGATAATTTCCACATTCTGTTGGATCACCTTTCTTTGGAATGGGCATAAATATGGATCTCTTCTGGTTGGTTGACCAGGTAGCTTTTTTCCAAATTTCTTGGCATAGACAAGTGAGCGCTTCTAGTGCTGCATCTGTTTGTTGAAACATCTCAGTTGGTATTCCCTCAATTCAGTGCAGCTTGCACTTCTTCCTTCAGTATCATCAGTTTTTGATCATATGCTACCTCCTGAAATGGTTGAACATCAACCAGTTCTTTTTGGTACATTGACTCTGTATTCCTTCCATCTGCTTTTGATGCTTCCTGTGTCATTCAATATTTTCCCTGTAGAATCCTTCAGTATTGCAACTTGAGGCTTGAATTTTCTCTTCAGTTCTTTTGGCTTGAGAAATGCTGAGCGTATTCTTTCCTTTTGGTTTTCTAACTCTAGGTTTTGCACATTTCATTATAATACTTTACATTGTCTTCTCAAGCCACCCTTTGAAATCTCCTGTTCAACAATTTTACCTCACCATTTCTTCCTTTAGCTTTAGCTACTCTGTGTTCAAGAGCAAGTTTCAGAGTCTCTTCTGACATCCATTTTGGTCTTTTCTTTCTTTCCTGTCTTTTTAATGACCTTTTGCTTTCTTCGTATATGATATCCTTGATGTCATTCCACAGCTTATTTGATCTTTGGTCATTAGTGTTCAGTGCATCAAAGATATTCTTGAGATGGTCTCTAAATTCAGGTGGAATATACTCAAGTTCATGCTTTAGCTCTTGTGGACTTGTCTAATTTTCTTCAGCTTCAACTTGAACTTGCATATGAGCAATTGATGGTCTCTTCCACAGTCGAACCCTGGCCTTGTTCTTACTGATGATATTGAGCTTTTCCATCGTCTCTTTCCATAGATATAGTCAATTTGATTCCTGTGTATTCCATCTGGCCAGGTCCACCTATATACTCGCCATTTATGTTGTTGAAAACAGGTATTTGCAATGAAGAAGTCATTGGTCTTGCAAAATTCTGTCATACTATCTCCAGTGTCATTTCAATCACCAAAGCCATATTTTCCAACTACTGTTCCTTCTTCGTTTCCAGCTTTCGCATTCCAGTCACCAGTAATTATCAGTGCATCTTGATTGCATGTTTTATCAATTTCAGACTGCAGAATTGGTAAAAATCTTCCATTTCTTTATGTTTGGCCTTAGTGGTTGGTGTGTAAATTTAAATAATGGTCTATCAGTTTGTTTTACTGTGGTGGCTTGCATATTGCTATGATACTGGAAGCTATGCCACCAGTATTTCAAATGCTAGCAGGATCACCCATGATGAACAGGTTTCAGCAGAGCTTCCAGGCTAAGACAGACTAGGAAGAAGGACCTGGTGGTCTACTTCTGAAAAAATTAGCCAGTAAAAACCTTATGAATAGCAGTGGAACCTTGTCTGATACAGGTCCAGAAGATGAGCTCCTCAGGTTGGAAGGCACTCAAAATACGACTGGGAAAGAGCTGCTTCCTCAAAGAGGACCAAAACCAAAAAAACCAAACCCATTGACGTCGATTCAATTCCAGCTCATAGCAACCCTATAGGACAGAGTAGAACTGCTCTATAGAGTTTCCAAGGAGTGCCTTGACGAGCTATTTCATTGGAGTGTGGTGGATGAAAGCCTGTTTGAAATGGGTTCATTGGTGAGTAGGAGGAAAGAAATTGGAGAAAGCACCACAGTAGAACTGCCCCATAGGGTTTCCAAGGAGCACATGGTGGATTTGAACTGCCGACCTTTTGGTTAGCAGCCGAACTCTTAACCAATGCAGCACCAGGGTTTCCTCCTCAAAGTAGAGTCGACCTTAATGACATCGATGGAGTCGATCTTTCAGGACCTTCATTTACTGATGTGGCACAACTCAAAATGGTAAGAAACAGCAGCAAACATCCATTAATAATAGGAATGTGGCACTTGATAGGCACTCATATATTTGCTAAATAAAAGAATGAACGGGGGAGGAGGGAATGAAAGGAGCTAGGAGCCAAAGTGAGAAGGAGGCGCCAGCCCATTGAAGTCTTCGGAAGAGTTATTGGAGGTTAAAATACCAAAACCAAACCCATTGCCATTGAGTTGATAGTGACCCTATAGGAGGCAATAATAAGTGTAGAGGCCCTGAAGCAGGAACCATCTTGGAATGTTTGAAGAATACAAAGACTGGTGTGCCTGGAGCATAGTGAGCAAGAGACTATGGTTGGAGACGTAGCTGGAAAAAGTGAGAGCAGATCATGTATTATACAGCCTTGCAGGCCTTGGTAAGGAATTTGCAATGTATTTTAAGTGGGGGCAAGCCACTTAATGGTTTTAAACAGGAGAGTGACAAAAAGCTTGTCTTGGTAAGGCGTGAGCCCCATCATAAGTACTACCTATATTATATAGTTATGCAATAGGAGTTATGTGATATGAGTCAGACTGATTCTTTTTGTATTTTTTTAAGACTTCATATTTTGGTTTTTTAAAAATTAGTCTTAAATAAGCAATAAACTATCAAATGCAAAACTTGGAAGACACTTTTCGTTCCCTAGATTCCTCTGAACTTTCTCTAAATACCTACTGTCACCTCTGAAAGATACCTTTCTTCCCTACATTCTCAGCACATTCACTCATTCCTGAATGCCTCTGACAGAAATAGGGGAGTCAAGAAAAAGTATCAGGGTGGGGGGTGTTACAAAATGTGAAGAGGAGTTAGGTTTAAAGTGTGATGTTTTGGTGGCATATCGGTACAATTCCAGGTTTATCCAAAACTTCAGGTCTTCAATGTGTAGATTCTTTTTGAAGTTCACCAAGGAATGACCTAGTCAATAAATATAATATTCCAGTCTCAGTTCACCAACTTCAGCAGCATCATATTAGTGGCCACCTTTCCTTGACCCTGTCTTCCCTTGACTTCTCTGGATCCTCCTATATCATAATCATCCTTTGACTGGCTGCCCCTTTTTCTCAATGTGAACTTCACACAAAATTCTGCCCTCCAGCCCTCTTCTTTCCTTGGTGATTGTATCTTCTTCAAGCTTCATCTTCAACCTTTATCAAACAATTGACTTTTTTTTCCTTTAATTATCACTTCATTCAAGAGTATAGATCTGCCTCTCCAACTCTCCTTTAAACATCTTCGCTTAGAGGATCTTCCAGTACCTCACACTTAATGTCCTGAAACTGAAATTTATCAACTTTCTCTACCCTCTCCTTCCTTTCCTAAGCTTACCCCTAAAACAAACATAATAATTCTTAAAACTTGCTCTTCCTTTCTCTTTCAACTTTGACTCTTTATTTCCTTTACCCTCCCACATCCAACCAATTCCCAAGCCTCCCATACTACTTCCTAAAGATACATAATTTGTTCCTTCTGGGACCACTACCACTTGCCCTGTTCTGGCTTCGAATTTCCTTTGGCTTGTACTGTTTCTTAGTTCTCCAGTACACACCTCCAGTTTTTGTTTTCTCTAAACCGCTTTTTCATATTCCTGCTAGATTGATATCTTTACAACATCTGTAATTCATCTTTCCCAAACATCTTTAAGGGTTTCCTGCTTTCCTCAGTATAAAATCTAAATTCCTTGTCTAAGTTTAAAGGCCTTTCATATCTTACTCAAAAAACTTTTCCAGCCTTCTTTTCATGAATTCTACGTGTCTTCCCATCTGAACTACCACTTTGCTAGCTGTACCCTATGCTCTATACTTTCTTGCATGTGTGCCATGTCCAAGTTGTCGGTTTTTGTTTCTGTTTTTTTTTTGGGGGGGGTGGTCTTTCCTTGATACTCCCTTGCCGACTTTCTCTGTGTGCCTTCATCTTTCAGAGTCAATCTCAAGTGCTGCTTCCTCCTTGAAACTGGTCCCTCAGCTAGAAAGAAGTATTTTTATTCTGCCCTTAGTTACCTTTTTTTAAAGCATTTATCGCTTACTACCTTCTAATAGACATGCACATTTTTTATTTCCACAATTAGATGTCTCAAGGAGTAGAGAGTATTTATGTGTGTGTATATATACACACACACATATATATATTTTATTCATTCTCCATAATGTACAACACAATGCCTACATATAGTACTTTCTTATTAAATGCCTACTTAGTAAGTATCTGAAACATGTATAGTTTTTAAAGGTGAATTTTAGATGTTAACAAATATTTTAGTATTTAGTATGTCCACTATATTAAGCACTCAAAATTCCCTTGAAGTGCATTTAATTTAGTAGGGAGATGATATGACTATTAATGATTATATATCAAATTGAAATTAAAAATATGTTCAAAGGAAGGAGTAATTATGCCTCAGAATTGGTTGGGGAAATGCATGGCAGGGAAATTTCAAGCAGAAGTTAATTTCTTAGCAAGGTTTTGATAGATAGGGGCTCTATGTTGACTGTGATCACATGATGATTCTTTTAATTTCAGGTTGAAATGGGCATGAAGAACCATGAAATAGTTCCCTGCAGTTTGATTGCTTCTATAGCCAGCCTTAAACACGGTGGCTGTAATAAAGTTTTAAGAGAATTAGTGAAACATAAACTGATAGCTTGGGAGCATACCAAAAGTAAGTATTTCAAGGCACCACTTCTGAATTTTCGTGTGACTGGCTTCCCCAAGAGCAGGTGTTCCAAAAGGCAGAAAGTGGAAGTTGCCAGACCAATTTAAGTGCTAGACCTACAAGCGATAAAGCATACTTCTGCCATATTCTGCTGGTCACAGCAATCACAGGGCCCACCTAAATCAAAGAGGGTAGAGAAATAGGCTCCATCTCCTTATAGGGGAATAGCAAATTCGCGTTACAGAAGAGCAAGTAGGGTAGAGATACTGTTGCTGCCATCTTTGGAAAATGCAATCAGCCACAGGACTCTAGAGCAGTACTTTTCAAACCTTCTCTGGTGAAGGGAGAATGTCGTTTTTTCAACCCTTCACAGATCAGTACAAAATACAATGGAAGAATTAACTAATAAAGGGAAATAAAAAAATGACCATACAAATAATGGGTACAAATTCAAGTCAGAGGCATAAAACAAGTTGGTCAAATTGATGTAAAAATGTCTGAACTTAAACACTGTATTTCAGTTTCTGAAGTTATCTTGTCACAGACCAGTAACAAAACATTTGCAGACTGGCATCAGTCTGCAGGTCACACTTTCAGTAGCCCTACGCTAGAGAAGAAATGTAAATTGTAGGAAGGAGCCCTGGTGGCACAGTAGTTAAGCTCTCAGCTGCTAACCAAAAGGTCGGCAATTTGAACCCACCAGCTGCTCCACGAGAGAAAGATGTGGCAGTCTGCTTCTGTAAAACATTGTAGTACTGGAAACCCTATGGGGCAGTTCTGCTCTGTCCTATAGGGTCACTGTGAGTCAGAACTGACTTGGCGGCACACAACACACACATGCTGGTGGCTCAGTGGTTAAGCTCTTGGCTAATAACCGAAAGATGGGCAGTTGGAACCCACCTGTGGCTCCACAGGAGAAAGACCTGGCAACCTACTCCGGTGAAGATTTCTGCCTAGGAAACCCTCTAGGGAAGTTCTACTCTGTCCTATAGGGTCACTGTGCATCGGAATCGACTCAACGGCCCACAACAGCAACCAGAAGAAATGGGAAATTTGCAAGACTGGGTAGTTCATCTTTTTCCAGCTAAGACTTCCCATGTTTAAATTATAATTCCTTGAACTGATGTTACTTGGTGGTGCAATGTAACTAAAAAATGGTTTTTCTATCTTATTTTGTTTAGCTGTCCAGGGCTATCGGTTGACAAATGCAGGCTATGATTACCTAGCTTTGAAAACACTTTCTTCTAGACAGGTAGTTGAATCTGTTGGAAACCAGATGGGTGTTGGCAAAGAATCAGGTAAGTGCTAATAATAATATTGAAAGCATTTTCTTTGCTTTAGTGTATCTATGTCCGCTTGAAAAAGTATTCATCTTTGATTTTTCCGTATTTTCCAATCAAACAGTAAATTGAAAAATTGGTTGGAAGCAGTACACATTATGAAAGTACTCTTAGTTTAGTAGATTTTTGAAGTCCATTACTGAAAATACAGTTATACCAAGAATTAATTTTCCTCAAGTAATTGAAATCTTAGCAAATATTGCATTTTTACTTTATATCTGATAAATTGTGCATTTGTAAGTTAAAGGAAGTACTAGAAAACAGTGAATGTATTTTTGCTTCACAGCAGTGTGATCAACAAGGCAAAGATAGGTATGTGTACAGTACAGGAAAAAAGCATTCTAAAATAGCATTGAACAAATATCTGTATACTTTTTTATTCTCTATGTGGAAGACAGGAAGGAACAAAGAACAGGGAATGATTTTCTTTGTAGCATGCTGTATTACACACTGCTTTGTATGCTATATAGTTACGTTATCTAAACTGAGGAAACAAAATTAAAAGTAAAACGATTATTAGGAAGTCAACCCCAAAGAAGGTTGCTGTATTACTTCATGTGGTTTGTATGTCTTCTGTTTATAATCAGATTGTGGTGTATATTTAAGAACTAATGTAAGAGAACTAAATACAGCACCACGTGTATATATGATGCAAAGTATATGAGGTAATGAAACACCCTCTTTGGAATAGGCTTTCTGTTAATTTTTCTTACATCATCTTAACTTTGCTTTTGAGTGTAGAATGATGCATTGACTGTTGCAAATACTCCAATAATACACATAGGAGAGGCACATGATAATGAAACAAAAATTCAATTAAAAAAATTTTTAAGAAGTTCATTGCATGGCAAAACCATAATACAAGAGTATAATAAAATTAAGTCTTACTTCTCATCTCCTGTTTTTATTTCCCAAAGCTATCACTGTTTGATTTCTTACATATCCTTCTAGATATTTTTTAGGTAAATATAAGTAGTATATTTATATGTATTGAGGGTGTGTGTGTGTGTGTGTGTGTGTGTATTTACATATATATACATAACACACGCATTCACAGGAGTCTCTGCTGGGCGGTGCAAACGGTTAACACACTCAGCTGCTAACCAAAATGTTGAGAGTTGAAGTCCACTCAGAAGAAAGGCCTGACGGTCTTCTTCCAGAAAATCACCCATTGAAAACCGTATGGAGCACAGTTCTCCTCTGACACACATGGGATCACCATGAGTCACAGTTGACTTGACAGCAATTGGTTTTTATATACATTCACAGATGAGATATATGTCTTTTTGATCACAGGTGAAAGCAAATATTACCCACTATTCTACACTTTGATTTTTTTCACTTGGTAGATTCCTGATAACATTTTATATCAGCAAATATCTCTTCCTCGTATCTGGAGAGTATTAAGTTCTATGGATTCTCCATAATTTATTTTACCAGTGCAACTGTTAATGGGCTTTTAAGTAACTTCCAGTCTTTATTTTATTTTGGTAAGTAGTGATGCTGTAAATACCCCTGTACAAATGTACATATGCTAATAAATTTATAAATATATTCTTGGAAATTGAATTATTAGGACAGAAGGTATTTACATTTAAAATATTGATATACTGTGAAATTATCCTTCAAAAGTTTGTCCACATCTATAATCCCAGCAACAGTGTAAGAGAGAGCCTGTTTCTCAAAAGAAAAATAGTAGCTAAAATTCTTCATGAATACTTATAACATGTTCTAAATGTCAGTGTTACAAATAGCAACTTGTTTTGAAAGTTGGAAAGCTTATTGGAAGATCTCCATTCTGTTTACTGTAGGATCATATTCTAACAATAGTATTACTCACTGAAGTAATTGAAAAATTGAACTTCATTTTGTTGAAAGGAAGATATTATTAAATCACTTCTCTTACATAAAGACATTAAGGAATAATTTAATGTTTTCCCACTAATTGAATGATTGTTTTGACATATGGTAGACACAGTGGGCATCTTTGGAAGCAGTAACCTTTGACACAGTTCATCACTCCCTTCTTTGGCAGAGGCATTAATACATGTCAGTTTTTCATTTGGGGTTATAATTAAAATGGTGAGTGCTTGGGATATAAAGGTTTCTGCTGAATGAAAAGTATCCCTAGTTATATTAGGAAAGAAAGCATATTTGGTACAAATAAAATCAGAAAAAGCTAGGAAGTTAGAGTTGTTTCAGCTTATTGGAATAAAAGTATAATAATAATCCTTTTAAATCTTGGCTCCAGATATCTACATTGTTGCAAATGAAGAAGGACATCAATTTGCGTTAAAGCTTCACAGACTAGGAAGAACCTCCTTTCGAAATCTGAAAAACAAGCGTGATTACCATAAACACAGACATAACATGTCTTGGCTTTATTTATCTCGTCTCTCTGCCATGAAGGAATTTGCTTATATGAAGGTATTAAATAGTTTTACATTTTTCAGTTAAATAATACATGTAGCTCGAAGGACTTAATGACAAGCATCAGTTGCCCCACATCTTCCTACCACCAGTCCCAATCTCTAGAAGTGATCACTTTTAACTCTCAATTATTTCTCTTATTTATTTTCCTGGTGATTTCCTTCTATATGAAGGTATTTTTAATTGTTATAAATGCATAAAAGCAACATGTATTCCACAAAATTAATGAGATGGAGTAGCCTAAAATAATTAATAATGTAAGTGCCTCACAAATGTGTGTGAATGTGTATCTATTCAGTTTTTTCATATGTATGTCTATCTCTTAATTGAAAAAACAAGATAATTACTGTCTGTGGAAACCTTAATGTCTCAGATAGTTGACTGGTGTTTTTCTTTCACATAATGGAGTAAATGTCAGTATACAAAATGGTATATTAAAAATCTTTAGTTTGTAACCTTTCACCTTCAAAATTAATGTTGTTTTTGTTTTGTGCTGTTGAATCGATTCCAACTTATGAGTCAAAATTAATAAATTTGTTAAATATGGTTAATAATAACCAAATTAAACTGAAGAAAATCACATTGTTTTTATCATTCTATCAAGTGGGATTTATTTATCATCATTTTTCTTAATTATGGAAAATCAGTGCAGTATATCCACAGTTGTTTTTTGGGAGTTTCAATTTGGTGTCTGTTGAGTAGATTATTTTAATTTATGTGGTTAAATTTTTAGTAATCCTAGGGGGAATATTCTCGAGGTAGTATAAATAAATGATACTGTTACCATACATGTTATATATTTCTTCTCTTATAATAATAGTTCGTATCCTGTGATATTCAGTCAGTCCATAGGCAGCTTGATAAGAACTCCCAAAACTGTATTAGGTGTTTTCTTAGTGTGTTTATATGAAGGTACAAGAATGCAACCTGATTATGCTTCTTAAATACATTAGTATTTTTCTAAGAGAGAAAAAATAAGATTAAGCTATAGCTTGAAGTCCCTGGGTAGTGCAAACATGCTCAGCTACTAACCAAAAGGTTGGAGGTTCAAGTCCATCCAGAGGCACCTCAAAAGAAAGGCCTGGTGATCTACTTCCTAAAAATCAGCCACTGAAAACCTTATGGAGCACATTTCTGTTCTGGCGCACATGGGGTCACCATGACTCAATGGTAGCTAGTTTTGAGGGTTAAGATATAGCACAAGGTATTGCTAGTTGTTAATGTTATATGCTGTTCAGCTGCCCAGGCATGTTCAAAACTATCTGCGTTGAAAAGAAAAGCTTTGAAAACAAAGCAAACAAAAATTGTTGGGTGTGGGGAGTACTTCAATATCTGTCTGAAGAAGGTAGGAGGTAAGAATAGACAACTTTTTTAAATTAACCCTGTTAATCAGTAAGTATGTATTGAGTGTCAGCTGTGTGCTTATCACTGTATTAAGTACTGCCATAAGATGTGTTGGGGGAACACACCAAAGGAATAACCAATACAATAACATGAACACACATGAAACTGACAGTTTTAAAAAATTAATACATTGAGTTCAGAGAAACTTCAGGAGAGTGGAATAGTCAGTGAAGGAGATTTCATGAAGTGGTGGGAGTTGAGTGGAGGCATGAAGTATGGATATGGTTTGGCTGTAAGTAGAAGACAGTGCACTTTGCAGAGGAGCAAGTATGTGGATGTGAGATAATAATGTGGGTGTGAGCCCTCTGAATAGGTGACAGTGAGGTGACTGTCCTGACCACATGCCAGGGTGCTTATTGGAGAGAGTGTTGGTAGAAGCAGGACTGGTTAAGTAGATTAAAGAAAGTTGTGAAAACCAGAAAAATTGTTCAGATTGATATCAGTCAATATTTAAACAGTCACTGTAGTTTTTTTTTTAATGGAGAGTTGACATAAGCGTTTTAGTCTAGTATAGGTATGAAAAATAATTTAGGATTGGTGGCAAGAGCTGAAACGCTGTTGCAGTGTTGTTGTGTGCCGTCGAGTCAGTTCCTGCTGATAGCAACCCTATAGGACAGTAGAACTGCCCCATGGGGTTGCCTGGACTGAAGTCTTTAGGGAAGCAGATCACCAGGTGTTTTCTCCTGTGGAGCCACTGTTGAGTTTGAACCGCTGACCTTTCAGTTGGCAGCCAGATGCTTAACTTGCACCACCGGGGTTCATCCTGTTGCAGTCATCAGGCATAAATGACAATAGCCTGTTTTGAAATGGTGGCATTCCAGATGGCAGAGAGCATAAGTCTAAGGATGAAATAACAAAGACTTTGTGAACAATGAGCTAGAAGAAATTAAACATAGGGAAAAGTTGGACGTATGGATGATCACTGTGAGTCAAAATCAACTTGATGGCATCCAACAACAACATGAACGATCTGAAGTAACCTTTGTCTCAAACTACTACAATGTGCATGTTTGTCACGTAATAGACTTATATTACATATTATGGTCTGGAGAAAAAGGTCAGTGCTCTATGAACTAAAATGTATGATTCGTTGAAATACCTCATTTCCTAATATGTCAGAAGAGAGAGTATTTCCTAAAACATAATTTGTTTCGGTTTGAATTTTTTGAGCACACTCCAACATGTGGCAGAAACTTACAAAGTAGGAGAGGAAATATCCTAAGAGACTGTGAGGTTCTTGAGGGCTGAGACTTTTTCACACTGATTTTTGTAACCCTAGTGCAGTGCATAATATATAGTAAACGTTCAATGAATGAATGTTAAAAAAGTGAATTAAAACAAACTTTAATTTGTTTTTATGTCCAGCTTTTTCTATGTGGTGAGAAAGCCATACGTAAGTAACCATGTGTTAACTGTAATTCTATAAAGTCTTGAGTGTTTTTCTTCAGGTTGTGTGCAGGTACGTTTACTTTACTGTACTCTAAAAAATAATGACCTCTGTATTAGCTTATACCTGTTTTGCTATGTTTTAGGCATTGTATGAAAGGAAATTTCCAGTTCCAAAGCCAATTGATTACAATCGCCACGCAGTGGTTATGGAACTCGTGAATGGCTATCCTTTGTAAGTATTTGTTATTCTTGAAACCATGGATCTCAACAAATTTAAGTTTCATTTTTCAAAAATAATTTTTTTTTTTTTAATTAAATAGAATATTATTCCTGGAAGGTTAGACATTGATTAAAAGAGTGACTCAAGGGCAAATTGAAAATTCATTTTCATTCTGACAGTTTGGGTTTTGGAATCTGTATTAGTATCCTAGGGCCGCTGTAACAAAATACCACAAGCTGGATGGCTTATAAGAACAGAGATTTATTCTCTCATAGTCCTGGAGACTAGAAGTCCAAATCACTATGTCTGTCAGACCATACTCCCGCCAAAGTCTAGGAGAAGATTCTTTCTTGTCTTTCCCAGCTTCTGGTTGCCACCGGCAATCCTTGGCTCAGATTGAATTAGGACCCATGCTCCTGCAGTGCAGTATGACCTCATGTTAACTTATAACATCTTCAGAGACCTAATTCCAAACAAGGTCTTGTTCATAGGTACCAGGTGTTGGGACTTCACCATATCTTTTTGGGGATACAAAAGAGTCGTATTATGTGCCAGCTACTCCTTAGGCTCAGCAGTGAACAAAACAAAGTTCTTGGCCTCATGGAAGGAGACATGCAGTAAGTAACTAATCAAGGAAATATATGATATATCAGATGGTAATAAGTGTTATGGATAAAAATACAGCAGGGTAAAGAGGATAGGAAGTGCTGAGATTGGGGTAGGAGGCTGCAATTTTACATAGGGCTGTCTAGCAAAGTCTCATTGATTAGGTGACTTTTGAGCAGAAACCTAAAAGAAGTGAGGGAAGAAACCAAGCAATATCTAAGAAAATGTTTCAGAAAGAGGGAACAAGCATATAGGCCCTGAGGTGGAAGCATCCTCAATGTTCAGGGAACAGCGAGAAAGCCAATGTGGCTAGAGCTGAGTAAAGAGGGAACTTGAAAGTGGTGAGAACAGAGAGGTAACAGGTGACCAGATCATTTAAGACTTGTAGGCTATTGTAAGGACTTTTTTATTTTGATTGAGATGGGAAGCCATTGGGGGGTTTTGAGCAGAGAAGAGATGTGATCTGACAAATGTGGTAACAGGATCATGCTGACCGCTATATCGAGAACAGACTAAAGGGAGATAAGGACGGAGTTAGGAGGACAAATTAAGAGATCATTGTAATAATCCAGGCAAGAGATGAAAGTGATTCAAATCAGAGTGATAGCCATGAAAGTGATGAAAAATATTCAGATTCTTACATATTTTGCAGGTTGAATCAACAGGATTTGTTTGAGATTGGATATGGATGTAAAGGAAGGGCGAGCCAAGGTTTTTGGCCTGAATAACTGATTAATTGGAAGGATAAAGTCACCATTTACAGAAATGAGGAAGATTGCAGGAAGAGCAGTTTGGAGTTTGAGGGTGGAGCGGAATCAAAGATTCAGTTTTAGACTTGCCAAGTTTGAGATGCCTAGGAGTTTAGGGTAGAAGTCTAGGTTGAAATTGATGTGTGTGTGGTATTTAAAGCCAAGAGCCTGGATGAGATCACCAAGAGTGGTTCTAAGTAAGAAAAGATGAGAGGTCCTGGGCTTGGGTTTGAGCCGTGAGGAACTTCAAATTTTAGAGGTTAGGTGGTCTCAGTGGACATCTAGCTCAATTGGCATAACATAGTCTATAAAGAAAATGTTCTACATCCAACTGTGGTGAGTATCAACTGGAGTCTTAGGAGCCTGCGAACGGCCATCTAAGATACACCTACTAGTCTCATACCAGCTGGAGCAAAGGAGAATGAAGAAGACCAAAGATACAAAGGAAAGATTAGTCCACAGGACTAATGGACCACAACTACTTCCACCAAACTGAGCCTAGAACAACTAGATGGTGCCCGGTTACCACCACCGACTGCTCTAGCAGGGATCACAGTAGAGGGTCCCAGACAGAGCAGAAGAAAAATGTAGAACAAAATTCAAATTCACCAAAAAAAAAAAAAAAAAAAACAGGCTTGCTGGTCTGACAGAGACTGGAGAACCTGACAGTACGGCCCCCAGACACACTTTTAACTCATACTGAAGTCACTCTTGAGGTTCACCCTCCAGTGAAGGATTAGACAGGTCTATAAGGCCAACAGTAACACACAGGAGGGTCATGCTGCATAGTTCAATCATGTATACAAGACTAACGGGCACACCAGCCAAAAAGCAAAGATGAGAAGGCAGGAAAGGACAGGAAAATTGGAGGGGTGGAAACAGGGAAGCCGGGGTGGAGAAAGGGAGAACACTGACACATCATGTTATTGGCAACCAGTGTCACAAAACAATTTGTGTATTAACTGTTCAATGAGAAATTAATTTGCTCTATAAACTTTCACCTAAATCACAATTAAAAAAAAAAAAGGTCAGGGAGAAGATGAAGAACTAGCAAAAGAGACTTAAGAAGCAATGATCAGTGAGGAAGGAGAAGAACCAAGAGTATGATGTCCCAGAAGTTAAGGGGAAAAAAGTATTTCAACAAGGTAATGAAAAAGTCAACTGACAGACAAAATGTGATGAAGACAGATTTGACCATTGGGCTTAGCAACATGGAAGTCATTGGTAGTCTTGACAAGAGCTATTTCATTGGAGTGAGGTGGACAAATGGCTGTTTGAAATGGGTGCATTGGAGAGTGGGAGGAAAGCAGTTGGAGAAAACACCTCAGTGGAACTGCCCCATAGGATTTCCAAGGGGCACATGGTGGATTTGAACTGCCGACCTTTTGGTTAGCAGCTGTATCACTTAACCACTGTGCCATCAGGGCTGCAGAAGCTCCATAGGCACATCTGTGGAAGCTTCATAGATAACATTCAGACTCCCTGAGGGACCAAATTACTGGACTAAGGGCTATGGGGACCGGGGACCATGGTCTCAGGGAACATCTAGCTCAATTGGCATAACATAGTTTAGAATGAAAATGTTCTACATTCTGCTTTGGTGAGTAGCATCTGGGGTCCTAAAAGCTTGTGAGTGGCCATCAAAGATACTTCACTGATTTCACCCTGTCAGGAACAAGGGAGAATGAAGAAAACTAAAGACACAAGGGCAAGATTAGTCCAAAGGACTAATGGACCACAACTACCGCAGCCTCCACCAGACTGAGACCACCACAACTAGATGGTGCCTGGCTACCACCACTGACTGCTCTGACAGGGATCACAATAGAGGGCCCCAGACAGACCTGGAAAAAAATGTAGAACAAAATTCTAACTCACAAAAAAAGACCAAACTTACTGGCCTGACAGAGACTGGAGAAACCCTGAGAGTATGGCCCCCAGACACCCTTTTAGCTCAGTAATGAAGTCACTCCTGTGGTTCACCGTTCAGCCAAAGATTATACAGCCCCATAAAGCAAAACAAGACTAATAGGCACACCAGCCCAGGGGCAAGGACTAGAAGGAAGGAGGGGACAGGAAAGCTGGTAATAGGGAATCCAAGGTCGAGAAGGGGAGAGTGTTGACATGTCATGGGGTTGGTAACCAATGTCACAAAATAATGTGTGCTAGTTGTTTAATGAGAAGCTAGTTCTGTAAACCTTCATCTGAAGTACGGTAGTAAAAAATAATGAAAATAAAGTGCAAACTATTTTTTTCAAAAAAAATAAATTGGAGAAAGCACATGTAGACAGTTTGGCTGTAAAGAAGGTCAAAAAAAGAAGGAAGGAGCCCTGGTGGTGCAACGGTTAAGCACTCAACTGCTAACCAAAAGGTTAGTGGTTCAAATCCACACAGTGGCTCTGCAGGAGAAAGACCTGGTGATCTGTTTCCATAAAGATTACAACCAAGAAAACCTTATGAGGCAGTTCTACTCTGTCACATGGGGTCACTATGAGTTGGAATCGACTTGAGGGTATGACTTTTGTCTTTAATAGATATGAGATGTTATGTCTGTATGCTAATGGGAATGAGGAGTGAACTGTGTTGGAGAGAAGGGAATGGCAGTGGTTGCTGGGGCAGTACTTTTGAACAGGTGAGAAAAGATGATAGATAGTGCCCTGGGATGGAGCGGGGGATTTGACTTCAGGAGCAGAGATAGTTCATCGAGTGTGTGAATCTCATAGGTTTGTATTGGAGACTTAAAGCAGATGTTCTTCTTTTGATAACTTGTCAAGAAATTTAAAACTTCCTTGACCTAAGAAATATATACTTCATTTTCATAGCATATTTTATTTTTGAGGGGATTACAAGCAAGGAAATTCATGTAGATGAACCTAGCCAATTACTTAATGGTAAGTTTCACATAATACCTGCTGCATTATCCTGCTTAATGGAATTTCAGTAAGTGAATTATCGATTCATGTATGTGCATGTGTTGGTATATATTTATGTATGCTCTGTTCTAAAAAGTTTTTGAGTCATCTAGGTTGATGAGCCCAATCTTTGCCTTTTAAAAAAATAATGTAATTTTTTTTTTCTCTTACTATATATTAAACATTGTGTGTGAACTTTTCCTCTCTGGATGATAGGATAATGAGAAGTTTTTGTTTTCTTGATACTTTTCTGCAGTTTTTATATGTTAAGTCACACACACACATACTTTCATTTAAATCATTAATAGGTACAGATAACCTTCTTCATAACTTAAAATACTTTTAGATGTCAGATACACCATGTTGAAGATCCTGCATCGGTATATAATGAAGCTATGGAACTGATTGTCAAACTTGGAAGTCATGGGCTAATTCATGGCGATTTCAATGAATTCAATCTCATTTTGGATAAAGATGACCACATCACCATGATTGATTTTCCACAGATGGTTTCAACTTCTCATCCCAATGCTGAATGGTATGTGCTAAAATTATTTTATTATGACTGTGGCTGTGTTTATGTGTGTTGTTATTGTGGTTAGGTGCTGTCGCGTCAGTTTTGGCTCAACAACCCTATGTACAACAGAACCAAACACTGCCCAGTCCTGCACCATCCTCACAATCGTTATTATGCTTGAGCCCATTGTTGCAGCCACTGTGTCAGTCTATCTCTTTGAGGGTCTTCCTCTTTTTCACTGACCCTCTACCATGTATGATGTCCTTCTCCAGGGATTGGTCCCTCCTAATAACATCTCCAAAGTATGTGAGACAAAGTCTTGCCATCCTCTCATGTAAGAAGCATTTGGCTGTACTTTTTCCAAGACAGATTTTTTCCTTTTTCTGGCAGTTCATGGTATATTCAGTATTCTTCACCAATACCATATTTCAAATACATCAGTTTTTCTTTGGCCTTCTTAATTAATTGTCCAGCTTTTGCATGCATATGAGGCGATTGAAAATACCATGGCTTGGGTCAGGCACGCTTGAGTCCTCAAGGTGATGTCTTTGCATTTTAATACTTGAAAGCGGTCTTTTGCAGCACATTTGCACAGTGCAATACACTGTTTGATTTCTTGACTGCTACTTCCATGGGCGTTGATGGTGGATCCAAGTAAAATGAAATCCTTGGCAGCTTCAGTCTTTTCTGTGTTTATCATGATGTTGCTTATTGGTCCAGTTGTGAGGATTTTTGTCTTCTTTATATTAAGATGTACTCCATACTGAAGGCTGTAGTCTTTGATCTTCATCAATAAGTGCTTCAGGTCCTCTTTGCTTTCAGCAAGCAAGGTTATGTCATCTGCATATTGCAGGTGATTTAATGAGTCCTCCTTCAGTCCTGATGCCACATTTTTCATATAGTCCAGATTCTCGGATTATTTGCTCAGCATACAAATTGAATAAATATGGTGAAAGGATAAAACTCTGATGCACATCTTTCCTGAAATTAAACCACGCAGTGTCCTCCTTTCTGTTTGAATGACAACCTCTTGGTCTATGTACAGGGTCTGCATGAGCACAATTAAGTGTTCTAGAATTCCCATTCTTGACAATGTTATCCATAATTTGTTATAATCCACACAGTCGAATGCTTTTGTGTAGTCATTAAAACACAGGTAGACATTCTGGTATTTATGTGTGGACTGCCAGAAGAAGGAACAAATCTGTCTTGGAGGAAATACAGCCAGAATGCTCATTAGAAGCAAGGATGGCGAGACTTCATCTCACATACTTTGGACGTGTTACCAGGGGGGACCAGTTCCTGGAGAAGGACATCATGCTTGGTACAGTAGAGAGTCATCAAAAAAGAAGACCCTCAACGAGATGGATTGACACAGTGGCTTCAACAGTAGGATCAAGCATAACGATTGTGAGGATGGCGCAGGACCGGGCAGTGTTTCATTCTGTTGTACGCAGGGTCGCTATGAGTCAGAACCTACTCGACAGCACCTAACAACATATGTATTAGAACCATTTTCTATTCATGATTTTTCTGTTTTGTGATAACAATTTGGGTCAGTAACTGGTTTGAAGTGGCTGATGAGAATGGTAAAAAAATTTGTTTTTTTATTAGAGGATATCAAATTACTAGAATTATACCGCTAAGAGAATCTTTATTACTTCTCAATATTATTTAAAAACATATACTTTGATCCAGGTTTTGAAACCTATACATTAAGCTTATGCTGTGTATTGGAATGCTGAAGACATTGGGTGCTTTGTAAACCACATTGAAGAATTTGAATAAAAGTCTCAGTTTTAGGCTAGACTTAGTTGCCAGACCAATGAGAATATCTCTCATGTCACTTTTAGTTTTTATTGTATTATTAGGAAATAATTCATGTAAAGCCGCCTCCCTGGCACAGGGCAGAATCACTTTATATTTTGCAATAATCATATTCTTCACATTACTTAACCACTTAAACCAGCCAAGTTGTGAAATATGACCTTTTCCTTTATTTGCTTGTATTTCATAATGCAGTTGAGTGTAATCAACCTAAGTGTAAGTGTTTTTTTCCCTTCTGTTCCAGTTATAATGAGAAACTTCTTTTTCCTAATGTAACAACTGGTGTTACATAAAAGAGTATCTTTGTTCTTGCATAGTTTGAGCCTGAAACCAGCTTGTGTTAAGTGAATATTGTCTTCCTACTGGTTTTCATTAGGAAATGTCTATACTTATGCTAGAGAAAGGTCATTGAGACACAAATTTAAAAAATATTTCCAACAAAACAGTACTATTAGATTAATGCCTGGTACTTGGGCAGTCAGTATATCTTTGTATGATGACTAATCACCATTTTTATTAATGTAGAGTAATGTAGTCACACAATAAAGGAACATCTGGGAATCACCAGCATTAGAGAAGGGAATGATGACAGATTAACACATGCCATGTTTAGGCTACCTTGTTCTATGGGGTGATGTTGTGATTAATTTGAAATTTTATGGACAAGTACTGGGTAAAGGAATTATACCAGTTTTATTTTCTAGTAAGGCTATGTGAACATATATAAAAAGATCATTTTAAAATAATTTATTAAGATATTTTTCCCACTGCATCAGCCTGAGACCAGAAGAACTAGATGGTGCCCAGCTACCACCAGTGACCACCCTGACAGGGAACACAACAGACAGTCCCTGACAGAGCAGGAGAAAAGTGGAGTGCAGAACTCAAATTCTAGTAAAAAGACTAGACTTAACGGTTTGATTGAGACTGGAGGGATCCCGGAAGACATGGCCCCCAGACTCTCTGTTAGCCCCAAACTAAAACCATTCCCGAGGCCAACTCTTCAGACAAAGATTAGACTGGACTATGGGACATAAAATGATACTCGTGAAGAGTGTGCCTCTTAGCTCAAGTAGATACAGGAGACTAAATGGGCAGCTCCTGTCCAGAGGCGAGATGAGAAGGCAGAGAGGGTCAGGAGCTGGTTAAATGGACACGGGAAGTCCGGGGTGGAAAGGAGGAGTGTGCTGTCACAGTATAGGGAGAGCAACTAAGGTCACATATCAATGTATGTATAAATTTTTGTATGAGGGACTAATTTGAATTGTAAACTTTCACTTAAAGTACAACAATTAAAAAAAAAAGATATTTTCCCCAGGATGCCCTGAGAAGAAAGAATGGTGGTATTGCCTTCCTGTTTCCAAACTTCATCTTTCTCTAAAATAATCAGTTAAAATTCAAGGAAATGGTCAATTCCATATCACCCTATCCTTAATTCTCCCTTATCTGAGACTCTTCTGGAGAATTCAATCAGTTTTTGCCGCTTCATGAGGACCTAAAAAGCAACCTGATATTCTACTCTTTGTCCAGATTAACAAATCTTCAGATCATTATTTGTAAGCCACATCATTATTTATCTCTGTGAGTGTTATGGTGTATTAGCAATGGAAAATACAGCTACACAACCATAATTCAGTAGTCCCCAAACTTTTCCTTAGGAAACACTAATCTATTTTTATCTTCAGCTTTCCCGGTTGGCTAGGGATTCTAGTGAGCGTTGCTGATGGGAAGCATAGCCAGACAGACTGGTGACTAAAGAGGACAGGTGGGAAGCGCAGACCTCTACTCTTCTTTCTTGGGGTTCTCCCTTACTTTATATTCCCTTAGTACATTTCTTCACGAGAAAACCTTGAGTTTTCTAACCATAGGAACGTATTATTCTGACAGCTTATGTTCCTTGTGATTAGCTCTGTTTTTAGTTTTTTTGAACACTGGCAACTGATTTGTATCTTTCTTTTCCTTTTGCGTAACATCTTTTTCTCCTTCGTGTAAGGAATAGACGTATCATAGCAAATAATAAGGATATTGTCATTGACTAATAAGGAAAAAGATGAGCAACAAAGGCTGTATCAAAAATGCATCTTGCTTTTGCAGGTATTTTGACAGAGATGTTAAATGCATTAGAGATTTCTTCATAAAACGTTTCAGCTATGAAAGTGAGCTTTATCCAACCTTTCGTGATATCAGGTTTGTACTCTGCATTGCTTTAATAGGACTCTGTTTAAATATCTGATTTATTTCATTCTAAAAGTTAATGCTTTCATGTAAAAATTTTCAAATAGTGGCCTTTGATAATTATAGTCATTGTTGAGTATCATTGCTGTATAGTACGTAACTTAAAATTCAAAAATAAACGAGTTTTGGGGAGGAACATACCTAGTTTCTTATGAATTAAGAACTTTTTTTCTGGGTCTATGTGAATAACCCATTTGTAAGGAATCAAACCAAATGTGTACAGAGTTTGTATTTTTTCTTTATTCAGAACAGCAGCTATTGTAATTGATTCATGGAACAAAATTATTACGCACATTCTCAAAGCCTGATTTTCTCATTTATTTTATACACTTAGGTAAGATAGTGCTTTCTGATTTGGATGGTTCACATAATTTAAAAGAAGAAAAATCTTACGAATCAATAGTCCCCTTTGAAAGTTAATTGATTAAGTCAATAAATATCAATTGTAGTTTCTGTAACATTTCTATTGAAAATCTGTTGCTTTTCATAGTTGTTTTATTCTTAAAATGACAGCCAGCATGTATCTTTTACGTTTGTGTACTTAAGTAATCTAAGTGTTATACATTTTAGGCAAAGAAAAATTTTTAAAATGTATATGCTGTTAAACTAATTTGAGAATCATAATTTATCAGGATAATAGTTTAAATATTTATCCATGTCAAATGATTTTTCCCCCCGTCTTTCAATGCTTGAAATTCTTTTTTTCCTAGGAGAGAGGACTCTCTTGATGTAGAGGTTTCTGCCAGTGGCTACACAAAGGAAATGCAGGCAGATGATGAACTGCTTCATCCAGTAGGTCCAGATGATAAAAATATTGAAGCAGTAGAAGGATCTGAATTCTCATTTTCTGATGAAGAGGTGTCAGAAAAAGCAAAGGTTTGTAGGTCAGAAAATGAAAGTGATGGAGACCCTGGAGATGAATCAGATGGCTGCTGTTACACGTCACCTGGAAACCTTGAACAAGTGATGGAAGACGGTCTATCAGAGGAAAGTGCTGATGCACACAGTTTTGAAATGACTGAATTCAGTCAAGCTTTAGATGAAATAAAAGGGCAGGTTGGTGAAAACAATTCTGTAACTGAGTTTTCTAAGGAGAAAAACAAAACTGAAAACGGCACCAGACAAGATAGTCAGACGGGTCAGGAAGGAATCCCTGCTGGCTCGGAGGAATATGAAGACGAATGCCCTCATCTGATTGCCTTGTCGTCATTAAACAAAGAATTCAGGCCTTTCAGGTATAGATTTCTGTTGATTGATTTTTTTTTTACTTTCATCTTGAAACCAGTACTTTTCTCAATTCTGGTAAAGAGTATTTTTTCAAATGGTGTGACAGCATTATATTCAGCCACCATTGTATAAAAGGAAAGCAAATAACCTTTTTGATGTTAAAATTCCTCCTTTACAATTGACATGATTCTTAACAGCCTATTCTTTCAAAATACAAACTGCAGACTTTCAAAGAATTAATAAAGGTCTCTTGATAAATTGATAAGGTTTTAAGATGGATGAATTGTTTTTCACCTATTTTCATAATCTAATGTGTATTTGATTTATATGTTAGGTGCTGTCAAGTCGGTTCCAACTCATAGCAACCCTGTGTACAACAGAATGAAATATTGCCCAGTCCTGTGCCATCCTCACAGTCGTTATTATGCTTGAGCCCATTGTTGGCAGCCACTGTGTCAGTCAATCTCCTTTAGGGTCTTCCTCTTTTTCACTTACCCTGTACTTTACCAAGCATGATGTCCTTCTCCAGGAACTGGCCCCTCCCAGTAACATGTGCAAAGTACAGGAGACGAAGTCTTGCCATCCTTGCTTCTAATGAGCATCCTGGCTGTACTTCTTCCAAGACAGACTTATATATAGGTCAATAAACATACAGTAAATATGTTCTCTACATAGAATATTTACTTGCAGTGAATTTACTCTGGTACATTGAACCTTCTGTCCTTATCTGTTCGTGTGCAGTTAAAATTACATAATGGTATTATGTTGCTTTCTTTTAAGATTTTTTTTTTTTTGGCAGATATTAATGAGACTCACCTTAGATTAGCAAAAGATCTAACATTTGACTTTTAGATTTGGTATAGCTTGTTCAGAATCAAACAACTATAGCTTAATACAGTTTTATTTATTTCAGAATAGTAACATGACAAAATTAGATGAGTGGTACATTTATTAGTGTTTTATTTACATCCCTGGGCTGCTTTTATCTTTACAGTTTTGTTATGAAGCAAAGCATGAGAATTTTGTTCCTTTTTTATATAGCTCTGTATCTTGAGTCTCAGGGCTACTAGCATTTAAATAATAAACAGGTAAAATTAAAGTAGAACCTTAACAGAAAGAAGTGAAGGGTGACAGTGGTTCAGGATTTTGAGTAAGTGATAGAAGAAAACCTACATAGGATTAAAAAGTCTTCTAAACACAGAATAGAAGTAGTGATTTGTTCTCACTCTTAACACATGCTGGGCAAGATTTTTACTATTCAAAGTAAAAAACTCGTTGCTGATTCTGACTCATAGCACCCTATAGGACAGAATAGAACTACCCCATAGGGTTTCCAAGACTGTAGTCTCTACAGAAGCAGACTGCCACATCTGTCTCCCTTGGAACAGCTGGTGGGTTCAAACTGCTGATCTTTCGGTTAGCAGTGGAGCACTTAGCCACTGCACCACCAGTAGAAACATAAAATAACGGATGTTTCTGAAAAATAAGTTCTACTAAGAATTAACATTGTCTGAGTTTCTTATATATGCGTTGAAACTGAGCAGTGTGAAAAACTGGTAAGGCAGTTTCCATAATTGCAGTTTTTTCTGCCTTAGCAGAGCGGACTCTGTATGGAGTACTAGCTCAGTTCCCATTACACTCTACTGTTTGGGAAAGTGACAAGAAATGTCTCAGAGACGTAGATTGTGAGAGGCAAATTTGTACAGTTCTGAGAAAGAAGAGGAGAGGATTAGTAGAACATTACTGGTTCAAAATTTTGATTGTGACAATAACTCTCAGTAAGCTGAAAAATAAAAATTGTAATATATTGGGCTGAATTGTGGCTGGTTTTACCTTCCCAGAAATTTTAAATATATTGATATTTCTGAGGTATTTTATCTTTAAGTTTTATTGTCATGTAAGGAATAATGTAAAGGAATTTAGTCAAGCATAACTAATTACAGTATAAAAATATTAGGTAAATTATTATGTGTCTTTTTCTTTTTTTTTCTTTTTAACTTTAGAGATGAAGAAAATATGGGACATGTTACTCAATATAGAACAAGAACTCTGAGTGTTACTTCTGCAGGCAGTGTTGTAAGCTGTTCAACAATTCCCCTGGTAACTATTCATCTAACATTCACCAAATGCTTGTTAGGTTACTACTGAGAACAGATTACTGCGCAAAGTCACTGTCAGGATTATAAGGCCATTTGGACTTCACATGTTAATAGTATAAAATTATGACAGGTACAGATTTAATATAAGAGAGCGGGTTCACTTTTAGCTGGAATGATTAAACTTCTAGGGGAAAAATCAGCATGTAAGTTAGCTTGAACTAGAAGAATAAAATCACAGAAATTTAATCGAAGAGGGGACTTTATAGATTCTCATGTGGTCTAGTCTTGCTTTTTAATGATAAGGAAATTGAGGCCAAAATAGGTTACATGACTTTGCTTAAAGTTACACAGCTAGTGACAATGCTGGGACTGAAGTGTTGAAGATGCATCACCTGTACTAGCTAGTTCTTAAATTTTGAAGGAGAAAAATAGAAGACAATTTTAAAATATTTCTTGGAATCTCAAGATTTTATTGATTTAGCAGTATCCAAAGAAAGTTTACAAGGGACATTTTCTGGGCAGGATAATGAGCACAAATAGTCCAGCTCTGCTAAGGAGCTTTGCTGCCTGCCAGCCTTCTCTCAGAGCTACCCAGGAGGGAGAACCAGTTTGTTTCCTGTGTATATTTTAAAGAGAGCGATATGGCTCTTTCTTAGATGATTTTAGAGAGACCACGTTCCCTGGAGCAATGCCATTCTCACTGGCCTCTGGAGGCATTGTCACTCCTGTTCTCTGACATCAGTATTATGAAGATGTGTCACTCTTACTTGCCATTTAGGAACAACATGAGTTTCTAAATATCATAATTCTTCTGACGAGTGGCACAAGGCTGTTCTTGGTTTTCTTAGGAAGTTACTTTCCTGAGTCCTTTTGGCAGTCATCAAAGAAGACTTACTGCAAGCCTACAGCACCCACATTATTTCCTAGTCTTATTTCTGGATTCGGCAGTGTTTTTAAAAGTTTACTTTCATTTTAAGCTTTTGAAAAAAATTCTGTCCAACACTAAGAAAGAGCAACATAGTAATTTTCAGTTTTTTTCATAAATTAAAATCACACAACTGGTGTAGTAGCTTTTTCCTCCTGCTCAATGTATTAAATTGAGTATCACTGAACCCAGTTTTTAGTTAAAACTTCACTTAAAATGAGCAAAAGAAGAAAATCATTATAGAAAGTAGAAGGAGGAAATAAAATGATTAGATAATCAACACAATACACCACATCAATAGAACAAAGGAAAAGAACCATGTGATCATCTCTGTTGATGCAGAAAAGACATTTGATAAAATCCAACATCCTTTCTTGATGAAAACCCTCACCAAGATAGGAATAGAAGAGAAAGTCCTCAAAATAATTAAGGGCATCATTGAAAAACCAAACAGACAACATTATACTTGACAAAGATTGAGAGCTACTGAAATCGGGAACAAGACAACAATGCCTATTCTCATTATTCCTATTCAATAATGTATTGGAAGTCCTAGCCAGAGCACTAAAACAAGAAAAATAAAGGTATATGAATCAAAAAGGAAGTAAAATTATCTCTATTCACTGATGATATGATCCTGTATATAGAAAGCCCCAAAGAATTCACAAGAAGAGGAATTTAGCAAAGTTGCAGGGTACAAGGTCAACAAACAAAATTCAGTTTGATTTCTATATACCAGCGATGAGAAATCTGAAAGGGAACTTAGGGAAATGATTCCATTTACAGTAACATCTAAGAGAATAAAATACCTAGGAATAAATTTAACCAGGGAGATGAAAGACTTACACAGTGAAAATTGTAAAACATTGCTGAAAGAGATTAAAGAAGACTTAAATAAATGGAAAGATGTTCCATGTTCATGGATTGGAAGACTTAATATTGTTAAGATGTCCGTAATACCCAAAGCAATCTATAGATTCAATGCATTCCCAATCAAAACTCTAACAAGCTTCTTTACAAAAATGGAAAAACCAATCCTTAGTTTTATATGGAATGGCAAGAGGCTTCAAATAGCTAAAGCAGTGTTGAAAAAGGAAGTAGGAGGACTCACACTTCCTGATATCAAAACATACAGCTACAGTAATCAAGCTGAAGAAATTTTAATGAAGCTGAAGAAAATTATAAAAAGTCCGTGAAAAACAAAGTACAGCCTTGAGTATATTCCACCTGAATTTAGAGACCATTTCAAGAATGGATTTGACACATTGAACACTAATGACTGAATACCAGACAAGTTGTGGAATGACATCAAGGAAATCATACATAAAGAAAGCAAAAGGTCATTAAAAAACAGGAAAGGAAAAATGACCAAAATGGATGTCAGAAGAGACTCTGAAACTGGCTTGTGAACATGGAGTATCTAAAGCAAATGGAAGAAATGTTGAAGTAAAAGAACTGAACAGATTTCAAAGAGTGGTTTGAGAAGACAAACTAAAAGTATTATAATGAAATGTGTAAAGACATGGAGTTAGAAAACCAAAAGAGAAGAACATGCTCAGCATTTCTGAAGCTGAAAGAACTGAAGGAAAAATTTAAGCCTCAAGTTGCAATAGTGAAGGGTTCTATGGGCAAAAAAACTGAATGATGCAGGAAGCATCAAAAGATGGAAGGAATACACAGAGTCACTGTACCAAAAAGATTTGGTTAACATTCAACAATTTCAGGAGGTAGCATATAATCAAGAACCTATGGTGATGAAGGACGAAATCTAAGCTGCACTGAAGGCATTGGTGAAAAACAAGGCTCCAGGAATTGACGGAATACCAATTGAGATGTTTCAACAAACGGATGCAATGCTAGAAGCACCCACGTGTCTCTGCCAAGAAATTTGGAAGACAGCTACCTGGCCAACCAACTGGAAGAGATCCATATTTGTGCCCATTTGAGAGAAAGGTGATCCAACAGAATGAGGAAATTATTGAACGATATCATTAATATCACACATAAGTAAAATTGTGCTGAAGATAATTCAAAAATGGTTGTTGCATTGGTATACATTTTGCTGTGTACATTTTTAACAAGAAAAAAATATTAAAAAAAAAACCCTCACTTCTGCCCTGGCAGTGTTTATTTTCTTTTTTAGGAGACAATTTGAGTGATGCAGAGCCACAACCAAACCAAACCCGTTGCTGTTGAGTCGATTCCAACTCATAGCAACCATACAGGACAGAGTAGAACTGCTGTCGCATAGGGCCTCCAAGGAGCGCCTGGTGGATTTGAACTGCCAGCTTTTGGGTTAGCAGCCAAACTCTTAACCACTATGCCACCAGGGTTTCCAAGCAGCGCTATGTTCAGTTAAAAAACAGGCTGTAGTGCTTCAGAGCAAGAAAAGGTCATTGTGAACTGAATACTTCAATTTCTTATTTATCTTTTAAGTCCTGTGACATGTGCAGCTGATGTCTTGACTAATAAGAGATTTAAATTTATGGCCATTCACTATGAGAAAGCATTCTACATCTCCCAAAAGCTCTGTGAAGACTTCTCCATGGATAACTGCTGCTATCAGGTCATGACTGCACCTGAAGTTATGAGGATAAACTTGTATGTATTTTGACCAATAGAAAATATTTTCAAAAATAATTTTCCACTACAAAACCGTGTCTATTTTTACCTAGAAAACAGGGGTTTTTTTTTTTCCAGTTTTCAAGATGGACACTAGGTGGCACTGTGGTAATTTATTATTTAAAGAATTTTGCCTATACACTACTTTTTGCTATATACTCTGTATTTCTGTTAGGAATTTAGTTTCTTCTGTTTTATATGGAGTTTTATCGCTGACTCATATAGTACTATCTGATTTTGGAATTTTTAAAATCCATGCTGTTAACATAAATTTGGAAGATAATAGTGTAAATCCTTTTACTATCTGACTGTACACAACAACTCATGGAAATGATCTATTATCAGTGATGCTAATTTAAGAAATTTTCTTTTCAGGAGCTGGTAAAACAGAAGGTGAAACGTCAGTTGACAAAACAGCAAAAAGCAGCTGTCAGACGTCGACTGCAGAAAGGAGAAGCGAATATATTTACTAAACAACGGAGAGAAAACATGCAAAATATTAAATCAAGCTTGGAAGCAGCTAGCTTTTGGGAAGACTAACAAATTTAAGATCTTAGATATTTCTGGTATATTTGGGAAAAAGTTACCATGATCCCTTTTTAAGCCACCTTTAATTTTTTTTAGGGCTAACATTAAATAAATAAATAAATAAATAAACCCTTTTTTCCGTTATAAATTTGACTCATTGGATCCATGTCTTCCATAGAATAATTACAGTATTACTACTAAAGCAACCCCGTTTTTCAAAGTAATTTGGATGATTATGGTAAATCTAAAATCATTTTTCAAAACAATGCTTATTAGGGATATTTGAGTATTCTTTTTAGTCTAAATATCACCGTTTTTGTTTTGTTTTTTGGTCTCCACCAAAAAGAAGTAGTTTCACATCCCAGCTTTTCTACTTATTGGTGGAAACATCTTTAGGCAAGTCACATTTTTCTTTTTCGCCTCAGTTTTCTATTAAAATTGGATTTATAACCACTTTGTAGGGTTATTTTGAGGATTAACTGAGATAATGCACATAAAGCACTTTGAACAATGCCTAGAATATTGTCAGCATTCAGTAAATGTAGCTAGTAAAATGATAATTATGTTTATTTTAATGAAATTGTACTGACAGCTTGGTTGTATTTTATTTAGCCCTGGAAGAATTCACTACCGCTGCCTTTTTCTTTTTTTTAGTCTCTGGTGGTAAAAATGCACCAGTTATTGTTCAAAATACAGGAACAGAAACATTTGAAACACAAATGCCCAGTAAAGCATAAAGCCAGTGTGTACATAGGCAGGACCTGTTACAAGCCATTATGGGCCTCAGCTCCTCTAAATCTCACAATGCTACTAGGGAGGGTCTGGTCATCCCCATTCTGTAGATGAGTAAACGGAAGCACAGAGCTTAGTGACTTGCTTGAGGCCACACAGTAAGTGGCAGGGCCAGGATCTGACCCAGGCAGACTGGCATCAGGGACTATAGCCTTATTCACTACGCTAGATGGCTTCTCAACATATGAAAAATGTACACCCTGGCTAAAAACCAAGGAAGTGTAAATTAACAATTCATTTGATACATTAGTTCTATTAAAAAATAATGAGCCAGTAATGCATAGTTTTATCTAGATTATTTTCTGCCATTTACATTGGTAATGTGGGCATGGGAACAGTTCCACCACCATTTTTACAGTTGCCAGATACTATGCAGGTCTGAAAAGACATAGAAGACCTAGGGGTTGGGAGATGGTGAGGACAATGTTCTTTCTCATATTCTTAAACTGGGTGGATCCAGAACGTGTTCTCATTTCAACATTAGCAAATAATGCGGAAAAGAAGAATAATATATAAGACACAGTCCCTCCCTTAAGGACTTTATACTCCAGTGAGCTATGAAGATGGGTGCTTAAGTACTTGGGACCCGATGAAGTCTCCACATCGCCCATTATCTCAGAAGAGGGAGGTTACCTGCAGTGAAAATGGCCACTAGGTGGCAGTGTCACCTCAGTCATCAGGCAGGATGTCCTTAAATCACCTGTACCCGTGATTATAATCTACCTGAAGGAACACAACAAAGGTGGTTGCAAAGGTTAATAAGGATAGATTCCCTTTCACCTCCACAAAGTTAATTCTACTAATCATCTGTAACATTAATAATTGTCTAATAAATTCACTTAAATATATAAATGCAAGAAAATGTCAAATCAGTTCTCTTGAAAATTAATTCATACTAATATTAGAAGTAAAGAGCTCTGGTGGTGCAGTGGTTAAGGGCTTGGCTACTAAACGAAAGGTTGGCAGTTCAAACCCACCAGCCTCTCTGAGGAAGAACAATGTGGCAGTTTGCTACTGTAAAGATTGTTGTTAGGTGCCATCGAGTCGGTTCCAACTCAGCAACCCTTTGTACAACAGATGAAACACTGCCCAGTCCTGTGCCATCCTCACAGTCGTTATGCTTGAGCCCATAGTTGCAGCCATTGTGTCAGTCCATCTCATTGAGGGTCTTCCTATCTTTTGCTGACTCTCTTCTTTCCCAAGCATGATGTCCTCCAGAGAATGGTCCCTCCTGATAACATGTCCAAAGTATGTGAGACGAAGTCTTGCCATCCTTGCCTCTAAGAAGCATTCTGGCTGTACTTCTTCCAAGACAGATTTGTTCATTCTGGCAGTCCATGGTACACTCAATATTCTTCACGAGTACCATAATTCAAAGGCATCAATTCTTCTTTGGTCTTCTTATTCATTGTCCAGCTTTCACATGCATATGAGGTGATTGAAAGCACCATGGCTTGGGTCAGGCACACCTTAGTCCTTAAAGTGACATCTTTGCTTCTTAACACTTGAAAGAGATCTTTTGCAGCAGATTTGCCCGATGCAGTGTATCATTTGATTTCTTGACTGCTGCTTCCATGGGTATTGATCATGGATCCAAGTAAAATAAAATCCTTGATAACTTCAACCTTTTCTCCATTTATCATGATGTTGCTTATTGGTAACAGTTGTGAGGATTTTTATTTAATGTTGAGGTGTAATCCATACTTGAAGGCTGTGGTCTTTGATCTTCAGTAAGTGCCTCAAGTCCCCTTCACTTTCAGCGAGGAAGGTTGTGTCATCTGCATAATGCAGGTTGTTAATGAGTCTTCCCACGATCCTGATGCCCCATTCTTCTTCATATAGTCCAGCCTCTCAGATTATTTGCTCAACATACAAATTGAATAAGCATGGTGAAGGGATACAACCCTGATGCACACCTTTCCTGACTTTAAACCATGCAGTAGCCCCTTGCTCTATCTAAATGACTAACTCTTGGTCTAAGTACAGGTTCCTCATAAGCACAATTAAGTGTTCTGGAATTCCCATTCATCACAATGTTAGCCATAATTTGTTATGATCCACACAGTTGAATGTCTTTGCTTTAGTCAGTGAAACACCAGTAAACATCTTTCTGGTATTCTCTGCTTTCAGCCGGGATCCATCTGACATCAGCAATGATATCCCTCGTGCCATGATTACAGCCTTGGAAACCCTATGGGGCAGTTTTACTCCATCCTATAGGGTTCCTATGAGTCAGAATCGACTTGTGGGCAATGGGTTTAGTTTCTGAAATACTGGAAGTATTTACATATCCCTCCTTTGAATTTCAGATGTGTCTTTAAATTCAGGTATTCATTTTATAACTTATTTTGAAGCATTTTTATAATATAAAATAACATTGAAAACAGCTTAATAGAACTACATAATATTTATTTTGGAACACATTTTCTTATATTGAAGTGTTAAAAGCAATTTAGAAATGAAACTAGTACAACATGATTCTACTTGGCTTTGCATAGTTACTCAGTCCACTTTGGGGTACTTACTATGAAACTCAGTACTAGTTGATAAACTGAAGGCAAAGAAACATGTCCTCACCCTTGTTGTTGTTGTTGTTAGGTGCCATCAAGTCAGTTCCCACTCGTAGCAACCCTAGGTACAACAGAACAAAACACTGCCCGGTCCTGCACCATCCTGACAATCATTACTGTACTAGAGCCCATTGTTGCAGCCACTGTGTCAGTCCATCTTGTTGAGGATCTTCCTCTTTTTCGCTGACCCTCTACTTTACCAAGCTTGATGTCCTTCTCCAGGGACTGATCCCTCCTTATAACATGTCCGAAGTATGTGAGATGTAGTCTTGCCATCCTCCCTTCTAAGGAGCATTCTGGCTGTAGTTCTTCCAAGACAGATTTGTTCGTTTTTCTGGCAGTCCATGGTACACTCAATATTGTTCGCCAATACCATAACTCAAATGCATCAATTCTTCTTTGGCCTTCCTTATTCAAATGAAGTCCTCATGCTTAAGAGCCTAAAATTTCATGTGGACAACAGAAAAAATTATTCAAATGCACAAATCTAAACAAATTATTCAAATCATGGAAAGGGGACCTAACATTATTTGGCCAAAGATTAGTGCTAAATACTAAAGATTTAATACCCTGGTAAGGAGGTTTTCTTGTTTGTTTCCCTGGGGTATATTGTTGGTTTGGTGATTTGAAAATTAGGGTCAATCACAATTATTTTTTAAAGATGTTTGGGGGTCTGTAGCCATCAGGAAATTAGAGTTTGCCCTATCAGACAAAGCTGTAACTCTCACATTTTAAAACATCCAAACATAGCGAACAATTATCAACAAGAAAAAAAATCAGCCTGTTATTAATGCAAAGCTATATACTGTGATTGTTAATAAAATAGGCTTTTTTTTTTTTTTTTTTTTTCCAGTTTGGGAGATCCCAGTTTAAATCCTGGTTCTACCACTTCCCAGACCTCAGGCACATTCTGTAACCTCACTTTTGAGATTTGTAAAATGCAGACATTTAATAGAGTCCCTGTCTCGGGATTGTGAAGAGTAAATGAAAAACACCTATAAGGAGCTTAGCACAGTGCACGGTACATACCATATGTTTAGTAAATGTGACTAAAATGACTTGAAGTTACACAAAGAAGGTTCCAGAGATTGACCATCTTTCCTATTTTCAAGGTCACTGATTATGTCAACTATGATCCTTTGGTCTTTTGTTTTTATCAAGAGGCACAAATGTTTTGCTTGTCATCTTGCATAGTCTACTTGCTATTCCCATTAAATAAGCTCTTCCTACAAGATATGCAGTTTATTTATTCTTGTGCTAACCTCGTAGTACTGGTAGGTTTCTTTGTCCATTGAGCTTGCTCCAGAGCCATAAAGATGTTTAAAGGATATTAACCAGAGGATTAGTGCAGCTTGGAATCATCATTCTTTCAGCCAAGCACTCAATAAATTTTCTAACTGCCTAAATAAGAACTCTGCCTGATGCTGCCCTCCAGGTACAGCAGCCATTTCTACCAGAAGGAGAGACGAGTTCATTATGTTCTCAGAGAGGTTTGGCCCATGTTTGGAGAGAGCACTTCCCTGAGGTGTAGGTTTAGTTCATTGTCACAGACTCAATTTGGGTGAACTGAGGTTCATAGTCCTCAGAACATCTCCCTAGAAGGCTTCAGGCCATATCTTAGTTTGCCCTTGGTTTGCTTTATGGGATGCAAATTTCAGGAGCTTTGGATGGGGGTAAAGTCCAGAATACCAGTGGGTTACACAGTTGTATAATAGCCAGGCATGCGGGGATAACTTCAAAGCCTACAATACCTCTATAAACATGAAAAATCTTAATCATTCTCAAA